TCTGTTCTCCTTCTCTGTTCTCCTTCTCTGTTCTCCTGTTCTGTTCTCCTTCTCTGTTCTCCTGTTCTGTTCCAGACGCTCTGACGACCTGTGGAACCAAACAGTTCCAGTGTGGTAATGGCAGATGTGTGCCACAGAGCTGGGTGTGTGATGGTACCGATGACTGTGGGGATGGAACCGATGAACTTCCTGCTACCTGCTGTGAGTATCACCTGTGACTGGGACTCTTTTTTTCCCACAATCCCTCAGTGTCTGACTCCACTTATTTTTATGTGTTTTTTTTGTTCAGTGGCCAAAACGTGTGGAGCGTCAGAGTTCAGCTGCCACGACCGTCTCTACCACTGCATCCCCAGCAGCTGGCGCTGTGACGGGAAGGCCGACTGTCAGAACGGAGCAGATGAAGACAGCAGCTGTGGTGAGTCTGTGTCTCCCTCACCCTCACCCTCACCTCTCCACCCTCACCTCTCCACCCTCACCCTCACCCCCCCCCTCACCCCCTCCCCCCCCCCCCCCCACCCCCACCCCCCCCCCCCCCACCACCCCCCCCCCCCCCCCCCCCTCCCTCTCCCTCTCCCTCACCTCTCCCTCACCTCTCCCTCACCTCTCCACCCTCACCTCTCCACCCCCTCCCCCACCCTCTCCCCCCCCCTCACCCCCCCCCCCCCACCCCCACCCCCCCCCCCCCACCCCCCCCCCCCCCCCCACCCCCCCACCCTCCCCCCACCCCCCCCCCCCCCACCCCCCCCCCCCCCACCCCCACCCCCCCCCCCCCCACCCCCCCCCCCCCACCCCCACCCCCCCCCCCCCACCCCCACCCCCCCCCCCCCACCCCCCCCCCCCCCCCCCCTCCCTCTCCCTCTCCCTCACCCTCTCCACCCAGAGCCCAAACGATGCACCAGCAGTGAGTTCCGCTGCAGAGATGGTCAGTGTTTGTCTTCGTCCTTCGTGTGTGACGACGATGTCGACTGCGACGACGGCAGCGACGAGGCCGACTGCCCCCCCCTCACCTGCAGCTCCACGGCCTTCCAGTGCAACAACACCGCGTGTGTACCACGCCTGTGGGCGTGCGACGGCGACGCCGACTGCAAAGACGGCTCAGACGAGTGGCCGCAAACCTGTGGGAAAAAACCGCCGTCCTCTGCCGCCACGCGCCGCTGCTCCCCCCTGGAGTTCCTGTGCGGCAGCGGTGAGTGCATCCACAGGACCTGGAGGTGTGACGGGGGGGCGGACTGTCTGGACGGGTCAGATGAAGACGACTGTGGTGAGTTGGACCTCGGGTTCTCCTCCACCTGGCTGTGAGGTTCAAGTCCCTCATCTGATCCTGTCCCCCCCTCTCCGTCCCCCCTCCCTCCAGCTCGTTCCACCTGTCGTCCAGATGAGTTCCAATGTTCCGACGGTTCTTGTGTCCACGGCAGCCGTCAGTGCGACCGTCAGTTTGACTGCAGCGACAGGAGCGATGAGACGGACTGCGTCAATGGTACGGACCAGCGTCAGACGCCGTCCCCTTCTGTCCTCACGTCTGTCCTCACGTCTGTGTTTGTTCATTGGACCCACTGTGATCTGACCTGCAGTGACCCAGTGTGACGGTCCGGCCCGGTTCAAGTGCCGCAGTGGGGAGTGTATCAGCATGGAGAAGGTGTGTGACAACCGTCGCGACTGCAGGGATTGGTCGGATGAGCCTCTGAAGCAGTGTGGTGAGAACAGACCCCCCCACCTCACCCCCCCACCCCCCATTCACAGCTGTCTGCGTAATTGCTACGTTGATGCAGCTAATGATGGTGCAGCTGCAGCAGAGGAATGTGGTTCTCCTGAGGGTTCTCCTCAGGGTTCTCCTGAGGGTTCTCCTCATGGTTCTCCTGAGGGTTCTCCTCATGGTTCTCCTGAGGGTTCTCCTCATGGTTCTCCTGAGGGTTCTCCTCATGGTTCTCCTCATGGTTCTCCTGAGGGTTCTCCTCATGGTTCTCCTCATGGTTCTCCTGAGGGTTCTCCTCATGGTTCTCCTGAGGGTTCTCCTCATGGTTCTCCTGAGGGTTCTCCTCATGGTTCTCCTCAGGGTTCTCCTGAGGGTTCTCCTCATGGTTCTCCTCATGGTTCTCCTGAGGGTTCTCCTCATGGTTCTCCTGAGGGTTCTCCTCATGGTTCTCCTGAGGGTTCTCCTCATGGTTCTCCTGAGGGTTCTCCTCATGGTTCTCCTCATGGTTCTCCTGAGGGTTCTCCTCATGGTTCTCCTCTTCTGTTCTCTCTAGGTTCTAACGAATGCCTCTTCAACAACGGCGGCTGTTCTCACATCTGCAGAGACCTGAAGATTGGCCACGAGTGTCTGTGTCCTGCTGGGTACTCTCTGTCTGAAGACAACGTCTGTCAGGGTGGGTCCTGTTCTGGGAGTCGAACCCCTGTACTGCTCTGGTTACTCACCTGGTGGTGGCGCTGTGACTCATCCTTGCTCCTGTTTTTTTTTCGCTCCTTGTCACCAGATATCGACGAGTGCGCCGACCCAGACGCCTGCAGCCAGATCTGCATCAACCAGGCGGGCAGTTACAAGTGTGAATGTGAGGAGGGGTACCAGGTCGACCCGGCGACCAAGACCTGCAAGGCTGTCGGTAAGGACCAGCTGAGACTGTGTTGTACCGCTGGTCCAAAGACACTCACTGTGTTTCTAACCCTCACATTTGCTCAAAATATATTTACAAATGCTATGCAACATTGAGGAGGAGGCAAGGTTGAGGGTTTCATTTCACTTCTTACTTAGTTGTTAAACAGTTCTGGTACTAATGCTGGTCCGAAGGTGCGACTAGAATCAGCTCCTTGTCTGTCACTGGTCCTGCTCTGGGGGTAAATATACTTTTCCCGTAGGTACTATTGCCTACCTGTTGTTCACCAACCGTCATGAAGTCAGAAAGATGACCCTGGACAAGAGCGAGTACACCAGGGTCATCCCCCGTCTGAAGAACGTGGTGGCTCTGGACATGAACATGGCCACCAAGGAGATCTTCTGGTCGGACATCTCCCAGAAGAAGATCTACCGGTGAGTTGTGGCGAGGCTTCAGACCACAGTACAACCGTTGAGTCGCTGTTGTAGTGACCGTTGACGTGTGACCCAGAGCTCGGCTGGACTCCGCCGAAGACTCGGCTCAGCACAGCGTGGTGATCAGCAGCGACATCGACGGCCCCGAAGGCCTCGCCTACGACTGGATCCACCAGAACCTGTACTGGACGGACAGCATTCGCAGCACCATCTCCGTGGTAACCTCTGACGGCCGGCGTCGCAAAACCCTCTTCCAACAGGGCCTGTCCAAACCCCGGGCCATCGTGGTCGACCCTCAGCACAAGTGAGTCCTGGTTCAGAACTCGTCCAGGAGATCCCATCTCCTCAGAACCTTCCCTGCAGTTCCCTTGCTTACCTCCAGGTGCTCGTGTGGCCCTGGTGGCTGACCCTTGTTCTTCTTTCAGCTTCATCTTCTGGACCGACTGGGGAACTCCGGCCAAGATTGAAAAGAGTGGTCTGAACGGAGGAGACCGCGCTGCTCTGGTCACCGACAACATCGAGTGGCCCAACGGGATAACGCTCGGTAAAAGACCACACCCCCTGTCTCTGGTCTGAAGGGCCAGAGGTCACCGTGCTGTGACCCTTCCGTCACCCTCCTCCTTTACTGTGTCCCCCACAGACCTGTTGAACCAGAGGATCTACTGGGTGGACTCCAAGCTGCACACCCTGTCGAGTATCGACGTGCAGGGGGGGGGGCGGCGGACCCTCATCGTGGATGAACACAAACTGGCTCATCCACTGGGACTGACTGTGTTTGAGGTAGAGTCTGCTCTCTCTCTCTCTCTCTCTCTCTCTGGGTGTCTCTCTCTCATATACTGAAGGCGTCTCTCTGTCGTAGGAGAGAGTTTTCTGGACGGACGTCAGTAACAGCGCCATCCTCAGTGCCAACAGACTGACAGGTGAAGACATCGCCCCAGTGGCTGAACACCTGTCCTCACCCGAGGACATCATTCTCTACCACAACCTCAAACAACCTACAGGTAGGAGCTAATACTCAAAGCTAATGTAGGCTAATGACAGCAAGCTCCTACTGTGTAGTTGGTGTCTTACCAAGGGTGGTGTCATCATGTTAACCCCCCCCCCCCCCCCCCCCCCCAACCTCCCTAAACACAAACTGGCTCATCCACTGGGACTGACTGTGTTTGAGGTAGAGTCTGCTCTCTCTCTCTCTCTCTCTCTCTCTCTGGGTGTCTCTCTCTCATATCCTGAAGGCGTCTCTCTGTCGTAGGAGAGAGTTTTCTGGACGGACGTCAGTAACAGCGCCATCCTCAGTGCCAACAGACTGACAGGTGAAGACATCGCCCCAGTGGCTGAACACCTGTCCTCACCCGAGGACATCATTCTCTACCACAACCTCAAACAACCTACAGGTAGGAGCTAATACTCAAAGCTAATGTAGGCTAATGACAGCAAGCTCCTACTGTGTAGTTGGTGTCTTACCAAGGGTGGTGTCATCATGTTAACCCCCCCCCCCCACCTCCGCCCCCATGTCAGGGAGGAACTGGTGTGCAGTGTCCAATGGTGGCTGTGCGTTCATGTGCCTGGCTGCCCCTCAAGTAGGAAGACACCCCCCCAAATACACCTGTGTCTGCCCTGACGACATGGTGTTGGCCCCAGACATGAGGACCTGTGAACCTGGTGTGTATTTAGTCCACATGGTACCGGCACGTGAATGTATGTACCGGTGTTCTGGCCGGGCTTCAAACCCATACTGTATCCATAATGTTCTACCACACTGGCCTGTAGGGGGCGTCATACAGCGTGATTCTCTCTGCTGTGTCTAACACTTCTTCTTCTGTTGTTGTCTTCCCTCAGCTGTAGCCACTGCCCCTCCTGTGCCAACAGTGCCACCTAGAACCCCACCCAGAACTACACCCAAGCCTCAGGTCCACACCAGCCCTGCGGTCCCCGTTACAGTCGACAGACCGGTGTCCACCAGGCCGATGGTCCGAGTAACCACAGCTCTGCCCCGCACCACTACCCCCCCACCACCAGTGAAGTCCACTGTCCCCACCAGGAAGACCCCCACCAGGAAGACCCCCACCCTGTCCCCAGGTAAATACAGTCCGACCTGAAGACAGCATCGGTTTGAGGTGTGAGGTCCTTCACAGACCCTGACCCCCCCCCCCCCCCCCCCCCCCCCCCCCCCCCCCCCACCACTGCCCGTCTTTGCGTG